TGATGTCTATTTAAGATACACAGGTAAGCAGAAACGCATATTGACATACGTAATTTTATTCCATAATTTTAGTACTGATGATGTGACATTTGTAATTAGCCAACTTAATAATTGCTAAAACCATATCAAAACAGATGTCATCAAATCTTACAACAACTTGCAAAATTACAAATTAGCAAGTTTTTTTTATCAACACCTGGCACAGATTGCGATTACTACAAATTGAGATATCAGATTATCTACCCAACACAAACAAAAACATTGACAAGTTTGAATTTTGGATTTTTAGGAAACAAACCTAGTAATGGACTTCTACTGGCATTTTCTGTTTTATATAATGGCAATAAAATTTTCACAATCATACCTACACCAAATGTGAAAACCAACAACATATCTTGTATACATGGCCTAAGAGCTATCAGTATTTTGTGGGTGGTGTTGGCTCATAGATTTATGATGTTTGGAACTGTACCAGCTGTAGTAAACTTAAATGGAGCCTTGGATGTAAGAAATAAATGACTGATGAAGAATATTTTGTTTGCATTTTTTTATATTTTACTTGTTGTTTTTATTTTATAGTGGTTGACGCAGTATCGAAGTACATTAATCACTGGAGGTTCAGTAGCAGTAGACACTTTCTTTATCCTCAGTGGATTCTTACTTACATATTTAAGTTTCAAGCAAATGGAAAAAACTAAAGGAAGAATAAACTTCTTCCAATACTATGTCCATCGATATTTGCGATTGACACCACCGGTTGCAGCTTTAGTACTATTTCACTGCTCTTTTTTCTTTAGATTGTTAGGAGGACCTTTTGCAAATAGTGAAGTTGCCAAGAAAGAATTAAGGGATGATTGCATTTTGTATTGGTGGACACCCTTGTTGTATATACAGAATTATTTTAATACCAATAATATGGTAAATTTAATTCAATCTATTAATTCAATATTGAGCTCAATAATATGAATTGTTTTTTTCATTAAATCATATTTTTTAGTGTATAACACAATCTTGGTACCTATCAGTGGATATGCAGTTTTACATAATTGCTCCTCTCTTAATAATTCCATTATTCAAATGGCCAAAACCTACATTGGTCTTTATAGGAGTAATGTCTTTAGTAACCATTGGTCTAAACTTCTATTTGACTTATGTAAATGACTTTTCAGGTGGACTAATGTAAGTAAATTCGATAAAAAATAACGCATGTAGTTTTAACTAACGTTTTTTAATTTTGCAGGAATCTAAGTATCGGCAGAGACCAAATGACAACGATTTATTTTCCAGCTCATACTAGATATGCACCATGGTTGTTTGGAATAGTACTTGGATATATTATGCATAAAACTAGAGATCAAGAAATTAAATTTAATAAGGTATATTCTAGAATCCTTGATTATTATTAAATAAAAATTAATATTCATTCGCAAAATCAAATAGTACAAAATATTTAATAAATTTATTTAAAATTTGCCTGAAAAGCTTTGTGGTTTAAGTTACAAATATAATAATTGGAATATGTTAAATGGAAGCCCTTGAAAACGTAATAGATAAAATTCTAATATTAATTTAGCATATAATTATAAAAAGCATTATTTTTTAATTTTGTAAAACAATTGGCTAAAATATGCAAATCTTTAAATTAGTGTAATAATATAATGACTTTCACAAATAATTGATTTTATGCAGATTCGGAACACATTCCAGTAAATTATGATAATATCTGATATCAATTAGAAATTTATTTAGCATATATTATGGGTCTTGAAATTGTCAAAATATTATTATTAAAATAGGGATAATATATGAAAATAAACAATATTAGTTTTAATGTATTCTTGTCAAAAAGTAAAATACCAGATGGTATATATTCTTTATCGATATTAAATTATAATTCTCAACATAAGATTTTTTTTTATTGTTTATTTGTTGACTTTATATACACGTACATTAGTCATATACATTTTATAAGTTATCTTTACACTTTTATTTTATTTGATTATATAGTATATGATTATATAGTGCACCATATATCTTTTTCTTTGGCAATAATGCCATAAAATTGGTTGGGAGGGAGATTTTTTTCTTTACTATTTCTCTCCATAGTTCTTGTCTACCCTTTTCCCATTTTTTGCACTCCAAAATGACGTGCTTAGCATCCACCCTAGTCACTGCACCCAAGCAATAGCAATTATCAACATAAGATAATAAATCCAAATATTACATATTATAAATTAATAAATAGCACAGCTTTTAAAATATGGTTTTATTAACTTTTAGCTATTTTAATTGGTTATTCTCTCGTTTTTTACTGGATACCAACAGATCTTTAAATCTGCCTGACATTGTGGTTCAAGACCCCTACAATAATATTTTTAATTATTCACCAAATTACTAATTAATTAATTGTATTATTAATTATATTATTTTTATCGATTACAGATACTGAATTTAATAATTTGGGCAGTGGTTCTTGTATTTATGGTGGTTGTCGTCGTGGGTGCTTATCGTTTCTATAGATTTGATTGGGAAAACGATGTCATGCTCTCAAGTTTCTACCAGGCTCTGCACAGGCAAGCCTGGTCTTTGCTGATTTGTTGGATTATTTTTGCTGGACATAATGGATATGGAGGTAAAAGATTTAATATACTGTTATGGTTCAACAAAAAAATAGAGTTGTTAGTACGTAGTCATTACTGGTGCAATAACAGTATGGAGATGATGGATATGGTGGTAAATGGTACTGGTATGGTTTAACATAAAAAGTACGGAGCTGGTAATGTAAAGTCATTACTGCTACAATAACAATATTTCAGTAAAACTTTAATAACAATATAATTTGTTATGGTTAAACAAAAAAAACTAGAGCAGGTAATGTGTAGTTATTAGGAGCAACGATTACTAGACAAATTATATAGTAGGACCATAATTTTTTTGTATTTATTCATTCATTCATATAAAAATTTATAAAATTGATAAAGTGAATAAAAAGTATAAAATTGTATTTACTTTTAGGAATAATAATAATTAAAATGTTTACCTAAAAGCTTACATTTTTGGAAGAAGTTGGATTGAACTTTGAGCCATAAATAACTTTATAAAATATATTAAACTAATGAATAATATTTTAAACTATTTTATATGCATCGAAATAATCATATGGCTATATCAATCAATAGCTCATTTTCCTGTAATTATTATTATCAGGTCCAATTAACTGGATTCTATCCTGGGGTTTTTGGCAACCTATTGCCCGATTGTCATACTGCATATATTTATGGCATTACCAGATGCAAACTGCCAGAACTGTATCTAGAAAAACTCCAATGTATTTTTCGGAATTTGAATTGGTAAGAATCGAATATATTTCATGTACAATTCTAGATCTGAAATGCAATTGTCATTTATAGTTGGCATATTTTTTGGGGGATGTTTGCCTTTCTTCAGTAGTAGCTTTAGTATGGAGTTTAGCATTTGAATCGCCCATTCCAACTTTGGAAAAAGTTTTATTTGGTGGAGGAAGAAGCTCTCCCAGTAAGTATTTTTACAAAGCAATGAATTAATATATTTATATGAATTTTAAAAAAAATTACTTATTTCAGAAAAACATAATGAAAATACTCAAATACTACGAAATGGAGATGCTGAACACGGATTAAAGGAAGAGCCTAAAGAAATATCAGAAGAAATTCCTGCTAAAGAGTTATTGGGAGAAGATAATGAAGGATTTTATAAAGATGACGAAGAAAAACAAGTGACAGATTTGTAATAAATATAGCAATATTTTTATAATATCACCAATCTCATGAAGTATAATTTAATTCAATAAAAACGTCATACATACGAAAGTATTTAATTTCAGGAACCTGATAATGTATATGATACTAAATATTCAGGACAATATATCAATTAAAAAATTATAGAAAATTATATCATCTTTATTATTTCGATACGTTTCGACATAAAATCGTATGTCATCTTTAGTGGAATGTAAATTAGAAAGTTCCTAGTTCAAAAAATATAATTTTTTATTTTAATTTTAGGTGTTAGGTAAAACATTGCAACTTGTATCATCTTTGATGCAGGATTCTTCAAGGAAAAAAATAAAGATAATATAATTTTCTACAATTTTCTAATTTATGTATTTGCCTTGGAAATTTAGTCTCACATATTTCAACATCAAAGAATTTAGCAAATATATAAATATAGTAGTTACATGTTCTACTATAATATATTCAGTAAGTTACATTCATATTCAAAAATTTGTTTCAATATATATAAATAGTATTCGACATTTGAATAATACAATATTGAAGATAAGATTTTTAAATAACAAGTATTTGTTTACTTTTATATTTTTCCAAATTTACACGATAAAATGCGCATTAAAATGTGAATATATAACGCTAAAATTATAATACAAATATGCTGCAAAAATACAGGATTGTCACTAAATAATTTTATTTAACTTCAATTATTGGGATTTTTTATTTTCAAAATTTTGCTTCAATAAATCTTTATCAATTATTATTAAAACTGATATTTTTATTCATTTACATTCTAATAGAAAATAAATTTATTTGGCCGATTTCTATTCAGATATCATCTCTGAATGTATACTTGAAATTACTTATAATAAAAATTAATATAATTAATAATATCTTATATTAATTAGTTTATCACTATTAGCAATTATTTTATCATTTTGTTAATAGAAGCTTTGAATAATATATTATGTCAATAATATTCAAAATATTTTAACTAAGTTTATAATTTATAAGTCATTTATATGTATATTTCTATTTCTCATTTCGTCATAAAATTATGCAAATAGATAATTGTAATTAAATTGAAGGTGATAACTTTACAAAATGGAATATATTTGCTTGAAAACAATTGTTAAAAGTTATGTGACGCAAGTAGTTGGAAAAAAATATAAAAATTCAATTGAAAAACTGTTCAATAAGTTTTGGTTTTCACATTTGTATTTAAATGAAAGAATGTCACGAGTTATGAGAAATAAATTCTTAACGATTGGGATATTTATTCTGATAAATCTGTCTGAAGGATTAGAATATAAAGGTTTAGATGAATCTATTTTATGGCTTACAGCCTCAGCTCTATATAATGATAATACGACTATGTGTAGTAAACATATGGAATATAGATCAAAAATAATACAAAGTAAGTATGAATTATGTAATATTTTAGTAAAATATAATTTTAGATTACCTATTTTTTCATTGCTTAAAACTGTAAATTTTTATTTCTTAAAATAATGATGTTGAAATTTTCATTATTTTTGCTGAGGCATGAAGATGTTTACGAAAATCAATTTCCAAATTCTCAAATGAAACTATGTATAATTATGAAAAAAATATAATAATAAGCTTTAACAATTAGATACATTAAAGATTTGAGCATCACCAATTAATAAACCAGGTTGACCTAATTCTGTTTGAATTAATAATTTTAATGAAGTACTATTCGTTAATATATACCGAAAATAAAATTTTATATAATGTTCCAATTAGTTGAAAATCACCATTTTACAATCTTTATAAAATAATTCATGAATAAAAACTCTTATCAGAATATTATATTCAAAAACAATAATAAATTGCAAATTAAGTTTGCAATTTATTATTGTTTTTGAATATAATATTTTGATAAATAAGTTTGAAAACTTTTTTTTATTTATACTTTTGAAGTAGTGAAATCATAAAAAAACTTTCTTCCCATTTTACCATATTTTAGAAGTTCAAAATGTATTTGATTTATATAAAATGGGTATTTTATTTACACTAGCAATTTTTATTTTTTTCTGGTTAATTAATATGAAATAATATAAAAAATTACACTATTTTTTTTAAATATCTTCAATATGCATTTAAAAGTAATAAATTAAAAATCACAAATAAATGTATTATTACCAACTAATATTTTGCTTTAAGTTTCATTAAAATATAAAATATGGCAATCTCTACCTAGTTTTTTTTTTTAACTCGTTTTATTTAGCAATCTTTCAATTTAAAAAAACCCTCAGAATCCCATTAGAAAATTTGGTGTGATTTTGATATTTTAGCAATTACAGATTTTTTATAGATGATTAATACTGAAAAGTAAATTGATTTTTTTAAATCCAATTTATATTTTTTGATAATTAATTTTTTATATGTTATCTCTGTAATTTCATTTAATAATTTTATTTATCATTATATTATATTTCTAGTGCTCGACTCTTCATCAAAGCTTCAATCAGGAATATTATCAGGAAATTACATTGATTTAGGCAATTTTGATGAATGCCTAAGTGCCACATATAAAACAAGTGATATTGGCCAAATCAACGGACAATATTGTTTAATAAGACATCAAATTGATGTCAATCGCAGAAACGAATTATTATCTGAAATTTATGATATTGAAAATAGTACATTGGAAGTAAATATTGAAAATCCTAAAAACATATTAGTGGCTTTTGCCATTTGTATCCCGGAATCTTGCACAAAAAATGAGATAGAAACTGCAATTCAATATTTGAAGGAAAAAAATATAGTTTCTTTGATTAATCCACGTGTTATGTGCACAAGGAATGAAAAATCTCTTCTTAATGCTGCAGATTGGTCAACAATGTATATAAAATTATTACTTCATTATTTTATTTATACAGATATTTATAAATTATATGCAAATGATTGACGTCTTTATGTTATATTTAAACAGATTTTTGATTTCGACAATTGGATTACTTATGACAATAAGTACGATATATGATATCTACTCGAGAAGAAGTATGTACACATTTGTTTATCTAGTTGGACAAAACATTGCATGAAAATAATATAACTATTTTATTGAAAACAGAAAAAAGAAAAGCAGAAAAATTGAACAAACTTCTCTTGAGTTTCTCAGTTTATACTAATGGCAAGAATTTGTTGGGCATTAAATATTCCAGTAAAGATATTGGCTGTATCCACGGGTTGAGAGCCATTAGTATAATATGTATAATATTAATTCACAGAAACGCTATTAGCAAATTGTATCCTACAATTAATTCTGAGGATATTTCTTTGGTAATTCTGTTTATACTTCTTGGATTGGATTTGGTTATAATAATTTTTATTTATTTTCAGTGGTACAACAATTTATATAGCACATACGTTTATGGATTTTTTGTAGCAGTAGACACATTTTTTGTTTTGAGTGGAATGCTGTTGTGTATCAACTTTCTTAAAGAAAGAGACTTAGGAAAACCTTTCAATGTCTTTACGTTTTATTTGAAACGATATATACGCCTAACGCCTCCATTAGCTGCAGCAATGCTCTTTGGGGTAGTATTTGCATTAAATACATTGATTTTCTTAAAACTACCAAATTAATATTTCATCTAATCATCAGGCAACTCTACAAACAAAATTCGGAAGTGGTCCTTTCTGGGAAAGCAAATCACAGGATACGAGAACAAAATGTGCAGATTACTGGTGGTATAATATGCTTTACATACAAAACTTTTTGGATCCGACAAAAGTCGTAAGTTTTGTAATATGGTATTTGGGCATAAAAATGCAGATGATATTATAATTAACTTCCTGTAGGGTAAGTTATAGTAAAGGTTCAAAATTCGAAAATAAAAATTTTTGCATATGTTCACGTTTTAGAGGTTTCTGAACATTTTGGCATGCCTCAGAAATGTGTGTATGTGTGGATTAGTAGTACGATTTTGAGCGTACGGATTATATTCCAGAAACATTCGATTTCTAGTGATGAAAAGACGTGCTAATTAGTTTTTGATAAAGTCAGGTCCAGCGACTTCAGTTATATGGAGCAAAAAATGTTAAAATGTCAGTTTTTAAGAAATCGGATCATCCGATTTGAATGATACAAAAAACATTCGATTCGTAATGATGGGTAGAAGTGGTGATTAAATTTTGACGAAGTAGAAATCGAATGTTTTTTGAATTATTCAAATCGGTTGATTCGTATTCACGAAATCGTCGACGAAAATTTGTATCCGCGCACACACACAAACCTACACACAACACACACACCATCAATTTTTTCTAAGGTATGTCTAAATTTTCAGACACTGAAATTACACACTGAAACGTAAAGATATATAAAAATTTTCATTGTCGATTTTTTTGCGATTACTATAACTTACCCGTAATTATAGAATTAGCTCATTATCAAATTAATTTAATGTAAAATGTGTCTATAATTAATTTCTATTTAAAATCAAATTTTCACAGTGTATGCTGGCGACATGGTATTTAGCTGTTGATATGCAACTTTTTATCTTGTCTCCATTAATTTTGATACCATTATGGAAAAACCAAAATATGGTATTTTTGAAATAATACTTCTTCTGTCGTGTGCTGTGATATTACATTGGGAATAATTTTAAACAATGACCACAATTTTACGATTATATCAAAGTAAGTTTAATATTGGTATCAAATTATATGTATTAGGGAAGTCCCGTAACGCCGGACGGCACAAGCATCGGACACTCTATATATCACGTATTATTAAAGCGAGTATAAATCTTTTTATTTCAAAATACAAGTAACAGGGACTTGGGGGCACACAGGTACAGGATCACGCGCCAAGCTTCGCCTGTGACGCACACGGCCACGGCGAGAGCAACCCAATCCTGTTTCAGGCGCAAAATCACGGCGTCACCTAAATATCATGAAAGTAATTCTAGCATATTTATGCATTTACCTTTGAGTGGTATGCAAAGATAAAGTTATACTTGATTGTTATCCGTAAAATGGTTAGAATATTATTAGGTCTTTTAACCAATTTTAGTAGTGTCCACCAATAAACAAAAATGTCTATCCCTTGGCACCGGACAATAAGTCGTCCCTTAGTGCCGGACAGTAAACATAATGATGTTTCTTGTGAGAATTTACGTAAGTTATTCCAATTATTAAACTTCCCGAAGGAGAAGTTTATGTTTTCATCAAAAAATCCGATCTCTAATTTTATGTTTTCTCGACGTTTCAAGCCATTCTGAATCGAATGAGACCAATTGAAAGAAGTATGTGTGTGTGTCTGTGTGTGTGTGCGGTGTATGTGATCAGATTTTTTGCCGTAAATCGACGTTTTCTCGAAAACGGCTGGGCGATTTCAAAGATTTAAAAGCCATTCGATGTATCTCGACGAGAACTATTGTTTGTCAGTTTTGTGCGACGATCGGCCAAGCCATTTCTTTATAAATCGCAGAAAAGTGAAAATTTTTTCGTCTACGTTTTAGCCCGCAATTCTAAATCGATTAGAAAATTCAAAACCGTTCGAAAGATATTGGTTGGGAATCGTGCTGATTAGTTTTTGGTAGAGATCGGCCGGGCCCGTTTTCTTGTAAGAAGTTTTTAAAAAAAATTTCGACGATTTTTATGATTATTTTTTTGACGGTAGGTACCATAGTCTTCTAGATCATACTAAATATTACGGCCCTACGACAACTGGTTCAGCTTTAAAAATTCGTCAAAGTTTGCAAAAATTGGTATCGTTTTTTGGCATTTGTCAAATTAGACTTTTGATCGACGTTTTCTCAAAAACGCCTGAACCGATTTTAGAAATTTAAAAGCCATTTGATGTATTTCGGTGAGGACTATCGTTTGTCAGTTTTGTGCGACAATCTGCCAAGCCGTTTCTTTGCAATTTAAAAAAAAGTGTTAAACTTTTTGTCCACATTTAAGCTCATCCTACCGAACCGATTTTAAAAAATTAAAAACTGTTCGAAAGATATTAGTTGGTATGATACTGATTAACTTAGGTGAAAATCTACCGAGCCGTTTTCTTGTAATTAACTGTTGCAAAAAAATTTAAGCCGATTTTCATGGAACTTTTTTTGGCGATATCATCATGGTCTTATAGAACTTATTTATTTAAGGCCTTACAAGTAGTTTATTATAAAAATTCGTCAAACTTTGCTAAAATTATTATCGTTTTTTTAAAGTAGGATTGATGAAGTATATTATTTACACATTCACATATTTTTGATTAACTCGATTATCACACATATCGGGAAGTTCATGTAACTTGCCTCAAGGCTAAATACCAAACCAACTAGTTTAATTTTGTTCTGTATGAGTGCTAACGGTCACAACATATACCCTCATTATTTTTATTTCCTAGTCAAAGAATGAAAATCTTATGATGAATGCTCCAGCTGAGAGCATCGGTGTGGCCCAGCCAAAAGGGTGGATAAATAGTGATTTTTTTTGCAATATCTAAGAATATTCGTCAAAGACACATTTCAAACATTCCAAAGTGTAGAGATAGCTACATATGTGATTGATGCAGGTTATTTTGAAATGTCCGGTACTAGTTGCCACTGTTAAAATCTATTTTTTTGATACCAGAGATTGATTACAGTATTAAATTTTTAGCAAAGATTGCGGTTTTGTTAATTTAGTTTTTAACGTTGTTATCTAACATAAATCATAATTTATTAACATTTTGTAAAATATTTTTTGATTTATTTATAAATAACCTTAGGTGTCCGCCACTAGGAGACTTCTCCCTATCTAAAAACACTTGAAAATTGTGAATAACGTGAAGATATCTATACTTTATTAATTGTTATAATTATTTTATATTTTACTTATTAATAGAGATATTTACAACCCCACATATTCGAGATATGGACCTGGCTGGA